CTTTTAGTGTTTTTTTTTTTTTTTAAGATTTATTTATTTATTTGAAAGTCAGAATTACACATAGAGAGAAAGGAGGCAGAGAGAGAGGTCTTCCATCCGATGGGTCACTCCCTGATTGGCCATAATGGCCGGAGCCGTGCTGATCCAAAGCCAGGAGCCAGGAGCCTCTTCCAGGTCTCCCACGCAGGTGCAGAGGCCCAAGGACCTGGGCCATCTTCCACTGCTATCCCAGGCCACAGCGGAGAGCTGCATTGGAAGTGGAGCAGCCGGGACTAGAATTTGCGCCCATATGGGATGTTGGCACTGCAGGCCAGGGCGTTAACCCCCTGCGCCACTGCGCTGGCCCCCTTTGGTTTTTTTTTTAAGAGACAGAGTTTCCATCACCAGTTCACTCCTCAGGTACCTGCAACTTGTCGGCTGAGGGCCAACGCTAGAAGCCAGGAACCCAACCCTGGTCTCCCCCGTGGTGGGGAACCTAAAGTGCTTGAGTTATCACCCGCCACCTCCCCAGCTCTGCATCAGCAGGAGGTGGGGGTCAGGTGCTGGAGCTTGGAGTCAAAGCTGGGCACTCCAGGTGGAATGTGGGCACCCCCCAAACTCCTGTCCCGTAAAGTGGGAATTTTTTAAAAGATTGATTTATTTGAAAGGCAGAGCCACAGAGAGAGGTCCTCTGGTTCACTGCCCAGATGGCCGCAACAGCCAGGGCTGGGCCAGGTCGAAGCCAGCAGCCAGGAGCTCCATCCAGGTCTCCCACATGGAGGCAGGGGCCCAAGCACTTGGGCCACCCTCCGCTGCCCTCCCAGGCACATGAGCAGGGAGCTGGATCGGAAGCGGAGCAGCCAGGACTCGGACCAGCACTCTGATGAGGGATGCCAGCTGCAAACAGTGGTGGAAACTCTTTCGCCTCGAGCCCCGTGGAGTGGGAATTTCCAGGATGTGCTCTCCCACGGGAGGAAATGGAGCCTCAGAGAGTTTAAGTCACAGAGCCAGCAGGTGGCAGCCCCGGGTTCCAGCGGAGAACTGTGGGGTGTAGACATCCAGGAACAGCGGAGTGGTGACTAGGAAGGCGTTTCAGTCTAGACATGGCCGTACGCGCCTATCTAAGCCAAAACCGTTTATTTTCATTGAAATCAAAATAAATAGTACACGGGGCCAACCTCTGCGGTGACCCCAGCGCCGTCGCGGGCGGCCAATCCTCTCCATGCTGTGCTGTGCAGGGAGCGGTGCCCAGGGCTGTCGCCTCCCAGGCCGCCGACGCTCAAGTGGAGTCTCCTTTCCCTGCTGCCCGCAGCCCTGAGGAGCTGAGCCTACGTCATGCCTCTCAGCGAGGACTCCCTCGGATAAAGCGATGGCTGTGATGGTGGAATTGTACCCGCTACGTCCCCCGGACGAGCATGCTGTCTCTGCCCACTTCATTTAGATCCTGAAGTCAGTTTCAGCTGACGGGTGGGAGTCCCCATGGCTTCTGACCCGTGACACGGCACGGGGGGACACAGCCACACGCCAACACGTTTCGCGCCAGCAGCCTGCGAGGAAGAGTCAGGGCCCCATGGCAAACGGAGCAGTAGCAGGACAAGGCAGATGTTTTAAAGCTGAGGGCAGGGCTGGCAGTTTGGTGCAGCGGTGAAGATACTGCTTGGGATGCCTGTGGACTATATCCAAGGGCCTGGGTTCAAATCCCCGCTCTGCTTCAGAACCGGCTTCTGGTATACCCAGGAAGGCAGCAGGTGATGATGGCTCAAGGTCTTGAGTCCCTACCACCTTTGTGGGAGAACCGGATGGAGGGCCAGGCTCCTGGCTTCGGCCTGGCTCAGCTCAGAAGCAAAAATTTACAAAAGCAAATAAGCCCCGAGTGCAAGTCTGGACTTGGAGTCACGAGAAGGCCGGCAGAGGGCCAGGGTCCGCGGGAGCCCACCGGAGCAGCCGCCCACTCCGGGACTGTTTCTTCTAGCGCTTCCGTTGTCTGTCAGACTCTGGCCTGGTCCCACAAGCTCCACATAGACAGGACTCTGCCTGTCTTGTCCCGGAGGAAGCTAGCCCTGGTAGGCACACCTTCAGAAGGTTTCTGGGAAAATGAAATTACCACCAAAGGAAGCATCTTTTGATTCCATTTTCCCACGGGCTCTCAGAGGCACCCTGGGCTGAGTGAGTGCTTGTCGCGGCCCAGGGCCATGCTCGGGGCCGGGCGAGGTGGCTCCGGAGCTCTGTGGTCGGGGCCTTGGGAACTTTAGACTCCATGTGCAAGTACAAATTGCCGCTTGGCTCTGTGACCTGTAATTAATCTTATCTCCGCGTACAACCTGGAACTCACACTGGTTTTTGTTTTTGTTCTGGAAATGAAATTGAGTATTCTGAGGCAGGAACTGTCTTTGATCTTGATGAGTGAAGGCAGAGTACAACGTCGCCCGTAGTGCTTCGGCCCGGACCAGCCGCCAGGCGGCCCCCAGAGCGGGAGCGCCCTGGCATCTCCGGCGGCAGGTGCCTTGTCGCTAATCATCGTCATGCCGGACCCCTCAGCTACAGAGACAGAGTTGTAGAAAGAGCAACGGAGATTGGATCGGGGATGCTGAAATAGAGAATTCTTTTTTTAACTAGAGGGGCAGTGGAGTGGATTAGCTCACTCCAGGGGCAAGATGGAGCCAAAGTGTTGCCAAAAGGTCAACCGCCGCCCTCAGCGGTCGCCTGCACCACCACGCTGCCCCTCGTGTGCGGAGCCCGGGGGTGTCAGGCTGCGGGCCCACGGCTGAACCGGCACCACACACAGCAGGTCGCCTGCTCAGCCTACGACAGCAACACATATTCCAGGTGCAAGGGATGTGTACAGATGTGCAAGGGCTTCTGGGAAGTTTTCTGGCCATTGAGAAACTCAAAGGCTGCCTGGAAGAGATCACAGCTATAACAGTGACCTCCTTTGTCATCTTTCTACCCAGCAGGATGAAAATATCTTTTAAAAAAGAAAACTTTCCAGAGAGTATCCTCAGAAACCAACCTTCTTACAAACGCGCACTTCTGTAGTTGTGGGCCAGCTCGCTCTCGCCCATTATTATCTGCTGGTCTCAGCAGAAAAAACCTGTCCATGTGCTCTGTGTGGAGCAAAGTGGGGAGGGAGTCCCGACTCCACAGCCGGCCAGGAACACGCGGGCCCACGGCCTCTGCCCCTGGACGGCTGGGGTAGGAGCTTGCTTGGGACTGGGAGTGGCAGATGAGTGCGTGCAGGAGGGGACTTCGGCCCCCAGGCCCGTGCCAGGCTGGGGGCACAAATGAACCCTAGAGAACAGAGCTTCGAGCAGAGAGCTATCCCCTGGGGGCGGGAATTACCCCAGGGATGCTCCTAAGAGGTGGTGTTAGCCTTGGGCTGTTTCGACTTCTTGATAAAAAAAAATTTTTTTTTAAGCTAAAAATACCTGGGGATATTTCAGGAAATGAGACCCTCGTGATAGCTCGGAACAAGAATAGCAAATGGCGTGCGTGCTTCCAGGAGCTGCTCCACACGGGCACCGTCGCCAGGAAGTCTCGGGGAACCAACAGCTGAGGACACACTTGCCCCCCAAAATCCACCTCATTTCCCATCCCCCTTGCAGCATTCCCCAAGGGAGAAGGGGCAGTGGGGAGCGGGCCACTGTTGTGGCGCCCCCTCCTGGAGTGCCCGCGCTGCTCCTGGAGCCCCTCAGGCTGGCCTGAAGGAAGGTGGCCACCGGGAGGACGAGAAGTGCCTGTGGGGAACAGGGTGGCGGCAGGGAGGAGGAGTGCGGGCAGGGACCCTGGTCGCACGCGTGTCCGGGCTCCCTCCCTGCCATCTGCTCTTCCAGTTCCGGTGTTTACTGCGGGGAGCTTGCGGCTGATGCGGACGGGCAGGAGCCCAGGGGCCTTCTCGGGCTGCGCGCCCGCCCGCAGACCAGGCTGAGACCTAACTTAGTGTGTATTTAAATACACTGATGTACTCCTTCCCTCTCAGAAAAAGGTCCTCTGCCTGATGAATGGGCACTTAGGGCGGAGGAGGCGGTGCGTGGTTACGTCTCTCACCCAGTCCCTGGGGAAGAGGGGAGGAGGGAGAGACCCCCCCCCCCCAGCACCAGATGAGCTTTTATCTCAGAAATTCACCCTCAGGATGGGGGTCACAGCTGGACAGGGTAGAACTCAGGGTCTCCCCCCCCACACACACACACCCTTGTACCATAAAACTGTCCTGTCTCTTGTAGATATCGTTGGCAACAATCAATGCCTTTAACATTTTTATTTTTGACTTGATAGAAAAACAGAACTGAAAGAACACAAAACTCTAATTACTTAGGTCCCCTGGTGTTCGGGTCTAAGCCTGGCCAACATGTGTATCCAGAGGCATCAGCATTGAAACTACTGCTAGGCGTGCTGTTGGCGTGCTGTTTCCGCAGCACGGGCTGGTCTTCACATTCGTGTGCCTGGAGAGCTGGGTCAGAGGCGTGAGCCCCAGGAGCAAGGAGTGCTATTTTTAGCAGCCGCCTGTCCTGAGCCCGCCCTGCCCCTCCTGCGGGATGTGTAGGCTGGGGCGTGGCCACCTCTGGCCCTCAGCTCCAGGGTGGGAAGTGACCCAGCCAAGCAGGAACGTGGCATCACTCCCAAACTGTTCCAGGACTTGGGAAAGCCAAGGCCCAGAGGAAGCCAAGTGGGCTGGGAGTCTTGGCTGCCTACAAATTTATAACAGTCCTTAGGTTTAAAGTCCAAAAGGGCTCAGGTTTCTGCTCCGTGTTGGATGGCTCCTACCGTGGTCGTGAGGAGAGCGAGCCAGCACCCCGTTCCCCAGCCTGTGGCGGGGAAATGACAGCACGGCGGCCCTGGGCTCCCCACTAAGACGCTCAGGGACAGAGGCCCCGGCCACACCACGCACAGGGACTCTTCTCTGGGCTCTCCCTGCCTGCTGGCTGCTGGGGAGAGGCCGGGGCACACATGGTGAGCTGGGGAAGCCTCCGTGGGACTCGCGGTACAGAACAGGGATGCAGAGGGGCCAAGTGCACAGGGCCTCCAGTCTGCCCAGAGCGTGCCTGACATGGGCGGAAGGCAGCGGGAGACCGCCCAGGGCTGGGGTGCCTCACCAAGGGTGGCCCTGTCACCTCTGCCCTCTGTCCTTTTCCTTTTAAAACCCTGGCTGTAGTTTATAGAAAATAGCCTGGGGTACTGAGCCGAGGTAGGGGAGTGATCACTTCCTGCCGCCTGGGGCCGTCTTCCCAGCCCGGCCCCGGACAGGGCCAGTGCTCGGTGAGGCTTTGGAGCTGGCTGCTGCCTCCTTTGTTCCGGGCTGCTGGTCCCTCGTGGGGAAGCGGATGCTGGGGTCTTGCAGCCTGTGCAAAACCTTGGTGATTTGCTGTCTACTCTGCTTTGTTTTGTTTCCTTTTCAAATTGAATGCGATTGGACACCTGCATCACAGGTAGGAAAATATTTTATTGACATTTAACAAGTGCGTTTGTAATCCTGATAACTAAGCCCAGAGGCAAGGAAAAGGCCTGCGTTTACTCTGCTTTCTCTGGGTGCCTTTCCAGCAGAGCTCCGGGTCCTGGCGAAAGGAAGCTGCGAGGGGCTCCGTCCGGGCCGCGGCAGATGGGCGTCCGCACCGTTCACTGAGCAGCAGCATGGAGACCACACCCCTGAACGCTCAGCCCGGGCGCTCGGCCTGCAAGGACGGAGAGGACTGCCGGGGCAGCGGGGTGCTGCGGAAGGGCGTGGCGGGCGACAAGGCGGAGCCCGGCCAGCTGTCCAATGGGTACTCGGGGGTGCCCGGCCCTGGTGCTGGAGACGACGCTGGCCACGCTATCTTGGCAGCCACGACCACGCTGGAGGCGGAGGCTCATCCAGGAGGGCGGGAGACCTGGGGCAAGAAGGTGGACTTCCTCCTCTCGGTCATCGGTTACGCCGTGGACCTGGGCAACGTGTGGCGCTTCCCCTACATATGTTACCAGAACGGAGGCGGTCAGTACCGCGCGCTGGGCCCAGGGCGGGCTGCGGAGCCTCCTGCGAGGGCGGCCGATGGGCCGTGGTTTCCTTCTGTGCAGATTAGCTGACAGTCTGGGAGCGTGGCCGCTGGGCCTTTCAGAGAGCCAAAAGTGTGTCCGAGGCTTTCTGGGGTGTGAGATGGACGACAGCATGCCCAAACCTGACCTCGCAGGTCCCAGCATCCTCCGAGCTGCCTTGGTCACCCCATGCCCCCTAGACCCCCACGTGGGGGCCTCCACTGTGCCTTCACTCCTGCAGGCAGCCTCTGCTCCAGAGAGTGCAGAGGGGCTGGAGCCGCGTCAGGAAGAAGTGGGAGGCGGCTCCAGGCCCTCCTGGGCTCTCACACGCATCTGTGTGAGGTCAGAAGGGAGTTAACCCAGGCCCCAAGCTTTGGTTGCCAGCCCCAGCGAAATCCCCAAGTGAGCCCGACCACAGCGTGCCAACCCCAAGCCATGCGTGGGATTGGACTTTTGAGGCCAGAGACCATATCTTGTCCCTCTTTGCACTCCTCAAGCCTCTAGAGCAGTTAACTTGTAGATGAGCAAAAACCCAAGTAGCTGACAATGGCTGTGAGTTTGTGAACCTGGTGGGAGCAGGGTGATAGCTGAGCAGGGAGAGTGCAGCAGGTGCAATGCCTCTGTGATGTGATGGCACCTGCTATCCGAATAGGGAAGGGACATACACTGGTGTCAAAGCAGTCCTTTTGTGTTTTGCCAGCACTGGTAGCAGGCTTGGGGAGGCCACTACACTGAGGTTTGAGGGATAATTCATTTGTGTCGCCCCACCTCTTCTGTGGCCGGACAGACTTGGCTGGATTGGCTGTACCTTTAAAGACTCCTGTCCATGTGGCTGCAAAGGCAGTTCCAGTGGGGCCCCTGGGAAGCTCACGGCTTCCTGCCTGGGAGGAGCGGACGTGGCAATCACCTTGGCTCTGGTTTGGGAGGACTCCCCTTTAGCCTGAGCATTACAGGTCCCTGGTGGTGTCTCCACTCTGCTCTTTCCCAGAAGGCTGACCAGGCCGGCCCGCTGGATGAAGGCCACAGTGGAAACACGATGTGGTTTTTATTCTCAAGCCAGGTTCATGCAGCCTGACTGTAAGTTACGTGGACCTTTCTGAGTTGCCCGGACTTCAGGTTTCCAGGTTCAAAGCTTTTTATGGGAGGGGAAGCTGCAGCTGACCCAGCTGTGGGCTAAACCTCTGGCTGCTCGTGAGCAACCCTCGACCAGCCGCAGGCGCGAGACTTAGGGGAGCGGCAGCTTCGTGCTTCCTTGTTTGGAAAACTCCCTTTAGCCACACCTGGAAAGCTGGCCTGTGAGGAATCCCCGAGATACAGCCACGTTAGCAGTGAGCTGTGTCTGGAGCCGTGGATAACACCAGTGAACACGCACACGTTCAGCGCCTCGTAGGTGGTCACAGCAGTTGCACAGGGTGCGCCAGGCGCTCTGTCCCAAGGGGCCTTGCACTGATTGCCTCAGAATCACCTGGGAGCTAGGCCAGTGCCGCGGCTCAGTAGGCTAATCCTCCGCCTTGCGGCGCCGGCACACGGGGTTCTAGTCCTGGTCGGGGCGCCGGATTCTGTCCCGGTTGCCCCTCTTCCAGGCCAGCTCTCTGCTGTGGCCAGGGAGTGCAGTGGAGGATGGCCCAAGTGCTTGGGCCCTGCACCCCATGGGAGACCAGGAGAAGCACCTGGCTCCTGCCTTTGGATCAGCGCGGTGCGCCGGCTGCAGCGGCCATTGGAGGGTGAACCAACGGTAAAGGAAGACCTTTCTCTCTGTCTCTCTCTCTCACTGTCCACTCTGCCTGTCCCCCCCCCCAAAAAAAAATTTAAAAAAAAAATCACCTGGGAGCTTCAAAAGCATTTGTGTCACCACGTGGGAGACTGCTTTGGAGGTCTGGGTGGAGCTGGGAATCTGGATGTGAGGGTCTGTCTTTCTTTCTTTCTTTCTTTCTTTCTTTCTTTCTTTCTTTCTTTCTTTCTTTCAAGATTTATTTACAAAGTTACAAGTTACAAAGAGGTAGAGGCAAAGAAAGAAGGTCTTCCTTCTGCTGGTTCACTCCCCAAATGGCTGCAATGGCAGGAGCTGGGCTTATCCAAAGCCAGGAGCCAGGAGTGTCTTCTGGTCTCCCACGTGGGTGCAGGGGCCCAAGGACTTGGACCATCTTCCGCTGCTTTCCCAGGTGCATTAGTAGGGAGCTGGATTGGAAGTGGAGTAGCCTGGACTTGATCCGGCGCCCATGTGGGATGCCAGTACTGCAGGCAGTGGCTTTACCCGCTACACCACAGCACCGGCCCCTGGGTGTGAGTTTCTAGGCTCCCCAGCAGAGCATGGCAGGTTGAGAACCTCGGCTCTTCTCAGCCTTTCCTTGTCTGGGGAGGAAATGGAGATCAGAGAAGGGAAGCATGCCAGCGTTCCCCAGACGCCAGGAGTGACGGTGCCCAGCGCCTGTCCGTTGGCTCCCAACGCAGCTTCCTTTCCACTAACTCCACGGGCCTCTCTGACGCCTCCTTTTATAAAGCTGTGGAGCTCTGTCTACCTCTGCTGTGGCAAGGCCCCAAGACAGGGAGCACAGGGGGCCCGTGCAGCAGGTGGCCCTGTGATTCCTGGCGGGGCTCCCTGTGTGCAGAGCTACTGGACTGTCCTGGGACGGGGTGGGCAGGACTGAGATTGTCTTTCCTCTGCCTCAGGAGCGTTCCTCCTCCCCTACACCATCATGGCCGTTTTTGGGGGGATCCCACTCTTCTACATGGAGCTTGCGCTGGGCCAGTACCACCGAAATGGATGCATTTCCATATGGCGGAAAATCTGCCCGATTTTCAAAGGTAACTGAAGGGCTTGGGTGCCTGTGTGAATGAGGCCTTCCAGGAGGTAGTGTTGCCCATCCCTGGGCGGGAGCTGGGGACCTTCCTCTGGAATCCACCTGGGTCTTGGGTATGTCTGGGAGATAACTTGAGTCCATTTTTGACCAAATTGCATGAAATTCTTAAGAGCATAAGTGGCAATTAAAAGTAAACTAAAGCAGAACACTTTAAGGCATGAGTAACACACACATTTTCTAAAACATGACACTTTGGAAACTCCCACGGGTGACTGATGGCGCTGGCACTTTCCTCTCCAACTCCCAGACGGATGGATGGCAGTCCCCCCCACCCCCCACCCCCCCCCCCCGGGTTGTGGACTCTCGGGCCCCGTCTCAGCCTGTCACTGTTGGGCTGCCCCAGGGATCGGCTTTGCCATCTGCATCATTGCCTTCTACATCGCCTCCTACTACAACACCATCATGGCCTGGGCCCTCTACTACCTCATCTCCTCCTTCACGGACCAGCTGCCCTGGACCAGCTGCGAGAACTCCTGGAACACTGGCAACTGCACCAACTACTTCTCAGAGGACAACATCACCTGGACGCTCCACTCCACATCCCCTGCTGAGGAGTTTTACACGTAAGTGGGCCGGGGTGTGTGTGTGTGTGTGTGTGCTCTGTTGTGGGCAGGCCATGCCCCTCTTGGCAGGTGCTGAGAGAGGAGGCTACCCAGGGGGAGGGGGAGCCAGTGTGAGGAAGTGGCAGGGCTGGCCCCAGGCAGGTTTTGGAGCTGGGAAGCTTCACCTCAGGTGCCCCATAATTGGGCTTCCCTGATCCCTTCTCATGTGCCGACGTGCCCAGTCCGATCCCTGCCCTCACGGGGCAGAATTACTCCCCTACAGCAGAACCACCTCCTTCCCAAGCCCCCCTTTTGGCTAACTGTTGTGGAAACAGAGTCTCCATGCTTCTTCAATAGTTTGGAACTACTCAAGTAGTTTTTGGTTTATAATGTGACTTTATACCCTTGGATGAAGATGCCAGGAGGAAGTATTTTCTTTTTCTTTAAAGATTTATTGAAAGGGCCGGCGCCGCGGCTCACTAGGCTAATCCTCCGCCTAGCGGCGCCGGCACACCAGGTTCTAGTCCCGGTCGGGGCGCCGGATTCTGTCCCGGTTGCCCCTCTTCCAGGCCAGCTCTCTGCTGTGGCCAGGGAGTGCAGTGGAGGATGGCCCAGGTGCTTGGGCCCTGCACCCCATGGGAGACCAGGAGAAGCAGCTGGCTCCTGCCATCGGATCAGCGCGGTGCGCTGGCCGCAGCGCGCCGGCCGCGGCGGCCATTGGAGGGTGAACCAACGGCAAAGGAAGACCTTTCTCTCTCTCTCTCTCTCTCACTGTCCACTCAGCCATTCAGAAAAAGAATAATAACATGAATTTTTTGCAAGGCAGAGGTACAGAGGGAGAAAGAGAGAGATATCTTTCTTTTTATTTATTTTTTTAACTTTTTTTTGACAGAATCCGGCACCCCAACCGGGACTAGAACCCGGTGTGCCGGCGCCGCTAGGCGGAGGATTAGCCTAGTGAGCCGCGGCAACGGCCGAGAAAGATATCTTTCATCCCCTGGTTCATTCCCCAAGAGGCTGCAATGGCCAGAGCTGGGCTGAGCGGAAATTAGAATCCAGGAGCTTCTTCTGGGTCTCCCATATGCGTGCAGGGGCTCCAGCACTTGGGCCATCTTCCAGCTGGCAGAGGAGGCGGGCCCGTGTCCGTGGTGCACATCACCTCTCTGCCGGGGGCTGAGTGGGCGCAAGAACCTCCTGGCTAAATGGCACGCTCAGGCCTGCTAGCCCTGGCCCCGCACTAGAGGCTCCACGGGGAGGGACTGGAAGCACTGTTTTCCCCGTGAGAGGTGGGAAGGAGAGTGGGAGAGTGCAAGTGGAGGAGAGGTGTGGCGGGGTGACGGTGGCCAAGGCGGGCTCTTTTCTTGGGTGTCTGCACCAACCCCATGGCCCTGGGCTGCAGAGCGGAGCTGCGAGGAAGAGGGAGGCAGAAGGCCCCGCCCTCTGGGGGGGGGGGCAGCGGCAGCCGGGGCACAAGTCCAAGGGGATCGGAGATGCAGGCAGTTGTTGGGCGACCTTGTCCTCAGAGCTGGGGGGGCTTGGCTTTCTCCGGACCAGGAGGAAGAGGCCAGGAGGACCCGGCCCCGGCGGGGGAGGCCAGGGCGTGGTCATCCCACTAGGTCAGTTCCACGTTGTTGGCACAGGCCCCGCCCCCGAGCTGGAAGCGGCTGTCGTAGAGCGTGGGGCCGAGGTGCCAGCGGTTGGCGCGGTAGATGCTCAGGTGGGTGTACACATCGGGCTTGTAGGTGAGCAGGCACTTGATGTCCGCCGCGCGGATGGCCGAATCTGCCTCCAGGACACCCAAGAGGTCCGTGAAGTCGTCCGTGTAGACACAGATCTTGCGCAAGAACCCTGTGTTCTTGCCCCCACTCAGCCTCCAGCAGAGAGGGGATGTGCACACGGACACGGGCCTGCTTAGCAGGGAGCTGGATCGGAAGTGAAGCAGCCAGGACACGAACTGGTGCCCACATGGGATGCCGGCATCACAGGCAGTGGCTTTGCCTGCTAAGCCACAGCTCTGGCCCCAGAGATGGTCTTTTTTAATGCTGGAAGTTCACTCAATGGAAGTCCCAAAAGAGGTACTTCCAGGTATGGGAAGGTACCTGCAACCCCTTCCTACAAACCTTCACGTAACCAAAGACCAGCTGTCGTGTTGGCCAGAGGGACTCGGCTCCCAGCCAGCAAAGGAGAGACCAGAAAGTGTGCCTTGGCCCGAGCACTGTCAATGTGCTGCTAACCCTGTCCATGGGGCAGGGCCAGTGCCAGCCCTTCCTAAGGCCCTGTGTGACCACTTGGTCCACACAGCACAGTGTCCTTTTCCCCTGGCTACCTTCCTGGACGTGCCAGTGTGTGTGTTCAGGTCACTGTCCAGATCTCTCAGGGGCCTTTCTTTCTCACTCCAGGCGCCACGTCTTGCAGATCCACCGGTCTAAGGGGCTCCAGGCCCTGGGGGGCATCAGCTGGCAGCTAGCCCTCTGCATCATGCTGATCTTCACTATTATCTACTTCAGCATCTGGAAAGGTGTCAAAACATCTGGCAAGGTGAGGAGGACCTAGCTGCCGATGCAGACAGGCCGGGGCACAGCCATTGTTTCCTTCATACCTAACACATCCCATGATGCTCCGTCTCTCTCTCTCTCTCTCTCTTTTTTTTTTTTTTTTGACAGGCAGAGTGGACAGTGAGAGAAGAGAGAAAGGTCTTCCTTTGCCGTTGGTTCACCCTCCAACGGCCACCTCGGCCAGCACACTGCGCTGATCCAGTGGCAGGAGCCAGGTGCTTCTCCTGGTCTCCCATGGGGTGCAGGGCCCAAGCACCTGGGCCATCCTCCACTGCACTCCCGGGCCACAGCAGAGAGCTGGCCTGGAAGAGGGGCAACCAGGACAGAATCTGGTGCCCCGACTGGGACTAGAACCCGGTGTGCTGGCGCCGCAAGGCGGAGGATTAGCCTAGTGAGCCGTGGCGCCGGCCCTGTCTCTTTGACCACGTTAGAAAATTCTAGAAATAGGTCAATTCCAAGAGCCATTATCTGATTGATTGATTGATTGATTTTTAAAAAGATTTATTTATTTGAAAGACAGAGTTACGGAGAAAGGTAGAGCCAGAGAGAGAGACAGGTCTTCCATTCTGCTGGTTCACTCCCTAAATGACTGCAACGGCCAGAGCTGAGCTGATCTGTGGCCAGGAGCCAGGAGATTCCTCCAGGTCTCCCATGCGGGTGCAGAGGCCCAAGAACTTGGGCCATCTTCTACTGCTTTCCCAGGCCACAGCAGAGAGCTGGATCGGAAGAGGAGCCTCCAGGACCCGAACTGGTGCCCATATGGAATGCCGGCACTGCGGGCTGGGGCTTTAACCCGCTGTGCCACAGCACCAGCCCTAATTTATTTTTCAGTTTCTTTAACCAGTGGGTTCTGCTGTCACAATGGTGGTGACAGTTTACATGGACATGCTCAGTGCTTTCCACTGGCTAACACTCTTGTTTCCCACTAGATCTTATCCCCATTTCACGTCTGAGTGCAGCCTCTGGCCATGCTGACTCTGCTCTCTGTCTCACGCTGAAGGCTGTGGCCTCTCCTCCATACCACCCTGCCTCCTGAAATGACAGGAAGGGACAGACCTCCTCACCCGAACATCTTCAGGAATGACGCTGGCATGCGCCCTCCCTGCAACAGCGTGGTGATGCCCTGTCCGCTCTCCTTCCTCACAGGTGGTGTGGGTGACAGCCACTTTCCCCTACATCATCCTGTCCATCCTGCTGGTGAGGGGGGCCACCCTCCCCGGAGCCTGGAGAGGTGTTCTCTTCTACCTGAAACCCAACTGGCAAAAACTCCTCGAGACAGGGGTAAGACGCGCAGGGGAACAGAGCCTGTCATTTTCCTACATGAAGCTAGTCCTTCTCTGACAGCAGGGGCAGATGGCATTTAGTTTCAATGTGCACATCTGCAATTGAGCCAGAAATATAAGCATTAAAAACTACAGTTTGAGTCCACTGGATGGGTTTATGCTAAATGACAGGGAGAGAGACTGCACGTGTCTGTACTTGCTATGTGGCCATCCTGGAATAAACCTTGAATACTGGTTCTCCTCTCTGCACATCTGCGCCAGTGCGTGAGGTATGCGGGGTCTGCCGTGCCCAGCCGTGGCCTGAATCTCAGCCCTCACCCCTGCACCCCTTCCCTGCTGTGCTCCAGGTGTGGGTGGATGCTGCCGCTCAGATCTTCTTCTCTCTCGGGCCGGGCTTTGGGGTCCTGTTGGCCTTCGCCAGCTACAACAAGTTCAACAACAACTGTTACCAGTGAGTATATGCAGCCCCCAGCAAAGGCTCAAAGTCAAGTGAGGATAGGTCAGCTGAAGGCGGCGTATTGAAATGCCCTAAAAAAAAAAAAAAAAAGAAAAGAAAAAACCATGGCCTCAAACCTGACTGGGCCCACGTGATGATTGTGCCCCTCGGTGGTGTCACAGGTCCCTGGCCAATTCACCCATGAACAGAGCACCCACCCCTCTCTGCTCTTGCCCCCAGGCCATGCGTGTGGTCACAGCAGTGTGTGCTTCTGACCAGAGAGGCTGGGCTGTCGCAGGGAAGGGGCAGGCTTGAGTTCCTTTGAGTGTAGCCTCTGGCCTTGCCAGGTGGGCCCTGCTCAGCAGGGTTGGCACAGGTCCTACCTCGGAACTGTCTCAGCCCTCCGGGTTTCCACTCCAGAGACGCCCTGGTGACCAGCGTGGTGAACTGCATGACCAGCTTTGTTTCCGGATTCGTCATCTTCACGGTGCTCGGGTACATGGCGGAGATGAGGAACGAAGATGTGTCTGAGGTGGCCAGAGACGCGGGTAGGACCCCGGGCTCTCTTGGGCTCCTTGCTCCTGCTGGACTGCTTTGCTCCTGACCAGTATCTGATTTCTGAATTATTTCTAAGCGTTCCTATACGAGTCCAGAGGTTTGAGAGAAACATGCTGTGGGGATCTCGCCCCTTTCCATGTGTTCAGGCTGTGGTGGAGGGGGGCTGGGGGCTGGGGGCTGGGGGCTGGGGAGGGGAAGCAGCTCCCTGTGGCTCCCAGGACTGGGTAAGGCCTTCCAAATCCCATGGGCTGGAAAAGATGGCTAGGATGATGGCTTTGAATCCAAGTTTGGGTCCTGTAATGGGTCCAAGTCTGGTAAGCAAATAATTATTAGACCTTAAAACTGTGCTTGCAGAAAAATAAAATTTAGCTGAAACGGCTGTTTTGCTGCACTGTGAGGTTTAGAAAAAAGAGCAACAAAGTCTCAGGACTCCTTTGTCAATACACCTGTGTCTTTGGCCTGCTGTGGCGCTTTGACCCACCTGGCATCTGTGACAGCAGTGCTCCTGGCTGGCCCGTGGGAGTGGAAGATGTGTCCCTCATGTCACTTTACAATAGCAGGAGGTCTTGTTCTCTGCCTTAGGCCACTGTGACACTATGGAAAGCAACATCTATTCTGGAACAAACGATATCAAAGGGGGCTGAATGCCATGGGATTTCAGAGATTACCAATCTTGGCCCGATAAAGTCCCCTCTGGACAGTCACACGGTGGAAACGCCTAATCTTGTGTGCAGCATTGCTGGTCTTTGGGTCGTGGGCCGGTTTCCTTCCCCTGTGTTAATTGCAGAGTAGATGCCTCCCAGAATGTTGGGGTGGCCAGGAAATGTGTGTGGAGCACGAGGAAGCAAAGCACTAGGTTCATGTTAAAGCCTGGGTCACGTGTGTTGTAGGGGTGGCTGTTCTGTGGTGACATCTTTGCAGGTCAGGTCTCAGCGTCCACGTCCTCCTCTCGCCCCCGTCTCAGGCCCCAGCCTCCTCTTCATCACGTATGCGGAAGCCATAGCCAACATGCCAGCATCCACTTTCTTTGCCATCATCTTCTTCCTGATGCTAATCACACTGGGCTTGGACAGCACGGTGAGTGAATGGGGAGGGAAATGGGCTCTGGAGAGGAGAAGAGAGGAGAGCAGGTGGCTGTACCCATCCCCTCCCACTGAGTTGGTCCAGGCCTTGTCGGCCACCTCTCCCGGGCATTGCCCAGGTGCACCTGGTAATGGAGCTTACCACCTCTAGTACCTTAACACATTAGATCCCATTCTCTCTCTCTCTCTCTCCTCTCTCTCTCCTCTCCTCTCTCTCTCTCCTCTCCTCTCTCTCTCTCTCTCTCTTTCCTCTCCTCTCTCTTTCCTCTCCTCTCTCTTTCCTCTCCTCTCTCTTTCCTCTCCTCTCTCTTTCCTCTCCTCTCCCTCTCTCTCTCTCCTCTCTCTCTCCTGTAAAAACCTAAAGGGAGGGCACAGGCATGGTGGTGCAGTAGGTTAAGCCGCCATTTGCAGCTGGCATCCCATAGCACAGTGCTGGCTTGAATCCTTGCTGCTGTTCTTCTGCTCCAGCTCCCTACTGATGCACCTGGGAAAGCAGCAGCAGCTGGCCCAAGTGCTTGGGCCTCTGCCACTCACATGAGAGACCAGAATGGAGCTCCTGGCTTACGCAAGGCCCACATGTGGCTGTTGCAGCCATCTGGGGAGTGAACCAGCCCATGCAAGTTCCTTCTCCCTTCTCTCTCTACAGCCTTGCCTTCCAAATAAATGTTTTCTTTTAAAAAGACAGTAATAAATAGATTACTTATGGTAACTATGAAATATTATTGAAACTTTTGCTGAGTTAAAAGCTTGGGGCTTAATGGGTTAGACTCTAATGGGGTGATGCTGGGGAAGCATATGTGACCTGTCATTTTGCACAGTCCCTTGATGGCATGATCCACCGACCAGCCAAGGTGCAGTCCCGCCCAGCATTTAGCTCAGTGCACTGATGCGTGTGGAGTGAGTCTCAGCACTGAGTTGGCCTTCATGGTGTAAGCAGTCTCCCACAGGAGCTCACATCCCAAGCTTTTCTTTCCTGGATGTCCCTAGTGATGGGTTGAGTGACAGCATAGAGCAGGATGTCTCCGTGGGCCAGTGTGTCTGGCCAACTGGTCACGATCCGCTGGACCGCTCGCACGGCAGTCTTGCCCTCCTCCGGTCCGCTGTCCCAGAGCCGCGCCGCTGACCACCTACCTCTGTGTACCTCCCAGTTCGCAGGCTTGGAGGGGGTGATCACGGCCGTGCTGGATGAGTTTCCGCATACCTGGGCCAAGTGTCGCGAGTGGTTCGTGCTCCTCGTGGTCATTACCTGCTTCTTTGGCTCTCTGATCACCCTGACTTTTGTAAGTACCACCCCCCTCAGCTCTGAGCCGACCTCCCCTACGACAATAGAATGCTAAAAGAAGCCGTTTCTTTCTGCCCTACGCAGTGCCCTGGCTTTGGGGCTCAAGGAAGGGAAATGCTACTGCTGTTAGAAGGTTTTGCATCTAGGAGACGAAAGTTCGTTCTGAGCTCTCTGTGGTATCCAGAGGCTGTCAGCACTCTACGGTAGACCTCACTCGATTTCAGGCATGGCCAAATACCTGCAGAAACACCAGGGTGTGTTTGTCCAGTCTCTTTCCACTCCACAGGGCTGCTTTCGTGGGAATACTGCCCTCATGGCCTCTTAGGCAGAATATCTGGAGACTGGCGTGTCGTGGGTAAAGCATTTGTCTCCTCTAGAGATTACTATGGTACAGACGTGAGACCCTTGCTGGTGATTTTTTTTTTTAATTGTTAGTAACTGAGACAAATACTGTACAGTGCGCATCAGATGTCCCTGCGGGCTGTGTCCTCCTGACTCACTGTGGAGTTTATAGCGAGGCATCTTCAAGCCATGACTGCAACCACCCTGGGGCTTCAGCTGGAGAAGGAGCCAAGGCAGTCAGACAGGGTTAACAGAGAAGACAGACCATGACTAAGATGCCCAGTGTACCTGGAATCGCGTTGTCTTCCTCTCTCTAGAGGTGGGAAGTCTCGCACATAGGGTATACAGGAGGTGCTCAGGAAACTGAAGAGAGTTGGAAACAGACCCAGGGGCCCTTTGGCGCTCTCTTAAAGCTTAGTGAGGGGAGAGTACAAGATGAATGTGCTCCTCAGGGCGGGTGCAGCTGCCTGGTAGGGTGCCACCTGGCCCACGCTGCACAGGCCGGTCCTGGAGGCAGGCTCTGGAATATTTAGGATAACAACAATTCTGGACAACCCCTACCTTGGACCTAAACCAAGACACACCTGCAGGCCCCCGTGGTAAGGAGGGGCAACGCCTCGGAGGACCTTAACCAGGTTCGCGATCTCGTCCCCAGGGGGGCGCCTACGTGGTGAAGCTGCTGGAGGAGTACGCCACAGGCCCAGCCGTGCTGACCGTCGCGCTCATAGAAGCGGTCGCTGTGTCTTGGTTCTACGGTAAGATGCTTCCTTCAGCCAGCAGAGACCCTTTGTTTTTTAAAATTTTATTTATGGGTTTTATTTATTTGGAAGGCAGAGATCTGTCTTAAATCCCTTGATTCAATCCACATATCCCACGGGGACCCAACTCCTCGAGGCATCTCACCTACTGCCTCCCAGAGCACACGTCTGTGGGAAGCTGGAATTGGAAGTGGAGCTGGCACTCAAACCCAGGCGTTCCAGTATGGGTACCACTGTGCCAAATGCCTCCTCCACCAGAGATCCTTCCTCCACCATCCTCAGCTGGCACCCAGTGAGGAGGGCTGGTTTCACCAAAGAAAGGCAGGGAGGGGCGATTCAGAAGGTGTGGCTTTCTGATGGGTGCGCAAGACAACCTCACCTGGGTGCCTTCTTGAGACACAGCATTGCCCCTGCGCTCTGTGCACAGATTGCCTGCACCCGGAGGACTTGTTTTCCCTGCTGAGTTTGAAGGTTTACCCAGTGGAAACAGTAGAGGGGTTCCACGTAGCTCATCTGTGGCAGTGGTTTAAGATCTTGAGGGGCTCTGAGACTTGGAGAGACAGCATGGAAGGAGTGTGCAGCAAATGCACTTGCTAAGTACACAGTAAATCTGCTGCTGAGCGGGTCTTAGGAGCTCATCTCCTAGGGAAGAGGCGAGAGTGCTCTTACCTGTGTTATTTGCCCAGTAAAATCCTCAGTCTGCCTGCTCTGGCCCTGCACTGGCATTTCATCAGAGTGAAACCTCCAGGAGCATGGGGTTGAGCTGACTGGGCCCAATGGCAGAGCTCCCAAGAGTGCCTGGGCAGGGAGTGGGAGGGTACAGGCAACTGAAATGAGGAAACCAGGTTCAGAGATGATCCTCTGAAAACCAAGAAGTGACTTTTTTTTTTTAAAGGTTTATGTATTTGAGAGGCAGAGTTAGAGAGCAAGGGATGGGTAGAGGGAGAGATCTTCCATCCTCTCCATCCTCTGGTTCACTTCCAAAGTGGCTGCAGCAGCAAGGCCTAGGTAAAGCCAAGAGAGTCGTCTGGGTCTCCCATGTGGGTGGCAGGGGCCTAAGCACTTGCGCTACCTCCCATTGCCTTCCCGGGCCATTAGCAGGGAGCTGAATCAGAAGTGGAGCAGCCGGGACATGAACTGGCACCCATATGGAATGCTGGCATTGCAGGTGTAGGCTTAACCTGTTACACCATAGTGCCAGCCCTGACTGTTTGATTTTTAAAATGTGTTTATTTACCCCTTTTCTATGGTAAAGCCCCTTTAGCATGGTAGACATTACACATATTATGGAGAAGGTGGGGGTGGGGTACATTCAAGTTGCACACAGGCCTGGTATTGTTTAAACAAAAGAAGTCCTCTCTCTGTCCTCAGCAACTCAGAGGACAAAGTTCAGAGTTTGTGAATCAGTGTAACGTTCACCCTGGGAACTGCTGGGAGCTCTCGGGAAGCAACAGCACACACGGCACCTTCCTCTTCTCACTCTCTCACCACCAGTCAGAGCGCACAGTTCTCACTATGGCACCTGTTACTTTCTGTAGAAGTCTGTTCTAGATCTGTACATGAATGTGCAGTATTATGGCTAAAACTTCCGTTGAAAGTCTCCAGTAAACAGTCAGTCTCTGTTAGGAAGAGTCGCCATTTTTCTTTTCTTTTTTTTCTTTCTTTCTTTTTTTTTTTTTTTTTTTTGACAGAGTGGACACGAGAGAGAGAAGCCGGAGAGAAGGGTCTCTCTTGTCTGTGTGGTCACCGCTCCAATGGGCGCTCGCGGCTGGCGCGCTGCCGGCCCGGCGCACCGCGCTGATCCCGGTGGCAGGAGCCAGGAGCCAGGTGCTTTTCCTGGTCTCCCATGGGGTGCAGGGCCCAAGCACCTGGGCCATCCTCCACTGCACTCCCTGGCCATAGCAGAGAGCTGGCCTGGAAGAGGGGCAACCGGGACAGAATCCGGCGCCCCCGGGACTAGAACCCGGTGTGCCGGCGCCGCTAGGCGGAGGATTAGCCTAGTGAGCCGCGGCGCCGGCCTTTTCTTTTCTATAATAACAATAAAACCCAGAGCATGCTGAGGTTTTATGAAGGCAGTGTGGGCATCAAATGGGGCATTAGGTCACTCTCCAGATGTCCATCAGTCTTCCAGGTCTGTGTACAAAGTTTTGTTATAATAATGCAGTTTTAGGCTGGCGCCGCGGCTCACTAGGCTAATCCTCCGCCTAGCGGCACCGGCACACCGGGTTCTAGTCCCGGTTGGGGCGCCGGATTCTGTCCCAGTTACCCCTCTTCCAGGCCAGCTCTTTGCTGTGGCCCGGGAGTGCAGTGGAGGATGGCCCAAGTCTTTGGGCCCTGCATCCCATGGGAGACCAGGAGAAGCACCTGGCTCCTGCCATCGGATCAGCGTGGTGCGCCGGCCGCAGTGCACCAGCTGCGGTGGCCATTGGAGGGTGAACCAACGGCAAAAGGAAGACCTTTCTCTCTGTCTCTCTCTCTCTCTCACTGTCCACCCTGCCTGTCAAAAAAAATAAATAAATAAAAATAACGCAGTTTTAGGGGCTGGTGTTGTGGTATAGCAGGTTATGCACTGCCTGTGAAGCCGGCGTCCCATTTGGGTGCCAGTTCAAGTCCTGGCTGCTCCACTTCCAACCCAGCTCCCTGCTAATGGCGCCTGGGAAAGCAGCAGAGGATGGCCCAGGTGCACCCAGTTCTCCACATGGAGTCCCAGGATCCTCACTTCAGCCTGGCCAGCTGTAGTGCCATTTGGGAAGTGAACCAGATGATGGAGGATCACTCTAACTCTGCCCTCAAATGGATAAACACGTCTTTTTAAAAATGCAGTTTTATGACAAATCCTCCAGACCCACGTTAAGACCAGGTTAGTGTCCTTGAGAGCCTCCTCTGGGGATCTTCCAGACCTGCTACAGTTGTCCACAGCAGGAATTCGGCTCCCTTCCTCCTGGCCGCTGCTAGTGCTGGTCCTGAGATGAGGGGTGGGAGAACAGCCCGTGCACTCTCTCCATCTCTCTGTTTTGGGCTTTAGGCATCACTCAGTTCTGCAGTGATGTGAAGGAGATGCTTGGCTTCAGCCCTGGATGGTTCTGGAGGATCTGCTGGGTGGCCATCAGCCCCCTCTTTCTCCTGGTGAGTTGTCATCGCCCTTTTCCTTCTCATGATTCTGCAAACATTTAGCAAAAATCAATTTTATTGAAGTGTAACATAGGGGGTACTTCAAAAGGTTTGTGGAAATGACATTTTAGAAGTTCAGACAGCATAGAGTGTAGCAGCTAAGATATCTGCATTGTACATCAGAGTGCCTGGGTTCATTTCGTGGCTCCAGCTTCTGCCTCCTGCTAATGCAGAGCTGGGAGGCAGCAGTAGTGGCTGAAGTAATTAGGTTCCTGCCTCAAGTGGGCGACCTAGATTGAGTTTCTGGCTCGTGGTTCTTGCCAAGGCCCAGCCCTGGCTGTTGCAGGCATTTCGGAAATGAATCAGTGGATGGGCGCGCTCTCTCTGCCCCTCAAATACATTTATTTTGGTAAAACAAATTTTTGAAATTCATGCATAATGAGGGGTTTTTAAAAAGTTCATGAAACTACATATTATGGGAAAACTGTATCTCAGAAATTTTTGTACCAAAATAAACGGTTAATTCCATTTTTTACCAATATTCTCAGACAAGTATGAAAATCATATGCACATCTTCAAGAAATGTTCTAAGTTGAGAAAGCTAGTGTAGACAAAATCATTTCAAGAAGCAAAAACATGACCAGCGTTTCCGAAGTCCCTGTGCCCTTCCCTCCTCTGACTTCCGACACCTGGGGCAGTCTGGTCTTCAGTCACTTTACTGCATCACTCCCTTGCTCAACGGTAGTGATGAATGACATGTACGGAGACGCAGTACTAGTCCAGGCTGGCTTTGTGTTAAAGCTTCCCCCGATTGCTCATTTAACTTTCTTAATATTCTTATGAAGTCAGTAATAGTTCTGGTATTCCCCTTCGACATTTAAGGAAGTTGAGGCTTAGTGACATCATGTGAAGGATTCAAAGTCACCTAACAAGTCGGGAAGGATTTTCTGTGCTGCTGAGCAAAGCCCTGGGGAGGGTCCTCATGATCTCCTCTTGGTAATTTTGCGCGCATCTTCTAAAAGAGGCCCACACAAAGGTCCTTCAGCATGGATCCACGTCACAAGTAGCATCCATTTATTGCCAAAGGGCCTGGGTGAGGAAGCGGAGATCCAAGCGTTGTCTGCTGGCTGAGATGTGTTCAGTCCTCACTGCATCCTTGCTTATGGGCCCTGGCCTCCCTGCTGGCGTCCACGTGAAGAGACATTTGCCTCAGCATGAGTAATTCCCTGCTGGCCTCCACACGGGCACCCGGTGCACATCAGCAGGGACTACCCTTCCATTCTTTCATTTACGTGTAACTTCACGGGGCAGGCGGAAGACTTTTAGAACTTTCAGAGGTCAGAAGGTTGTCGCGTTGCTCCTTCAGTCCGTCTCCAACTTACTAGGGTTATCTGGCTATCCCATTTTGTCTTAGGGTAGCTCTTTGACATACAGCTAGCTACCTTTACCGCTTCTTGTGCTCTGGGTTTGACTTCCTTGGGGCCAGCCCTTTATTTCTGTACTTTTTTTGTGATTGCACATCTCAATACGTGTACAATGTTTATTTTTGTCTCCACGACACTGCCGGTGTGTCTCTGTACCTTACAATCCCTCCATAACTTCCATTCCCTTGAATCCCAGAGGTCTCCAAAGCCAGTGCTCACCTCAAGCAGCTGTGGTTCAAGTATTGGGCTCTAGCATGCCCTGACATCTTGGCCTTCTGGTTCCTTACTACTTTATCAACTTGCTGATGCTTTTAGGTAAAATTAGAATACGTATTTTTAAATGCAAAACTTTTGGTTAGGGTTGGTCTGAATTGCCTGGCTTATAGTACCAGAAGCAGAAGCCCTAACAACAATGGGTTGTTTATTGAGAAGCGCTGATAGTAATATAAATTATCTACATTTAATCCTTCCATTTGTTTTTCAAAAGAAGAAGGGACACTAGGTTTGTCATTCCTTGAGAGTGGAAACATATTTGTTTACTTTTGCATATCCATACAATGAAGAAATGATGTCCAGGGCCCAGACTTGGGGGAGGCAAGTGAGAATGTCACCATGGGTATACAATTAAAGGGGACACCCAAAAACTCCGTCCTCATTATAAATACTATTTTAATGCAGTATTTTAAATTGCATGCGAAAATATCCATGATGAACAAAATACCAACATTTTTCCTAAGCACAGGAACAAACCCTGAACCTGGTGGCTCACCTTACTCTGGCTCCTGTCTTTTTTTTTTTTTTTTTTTTTTAAGATTTATTTCATTTATCTGAAATGCAGAGTTAGAGAGGGAGAAAGATCTTCCATTCACTGGTTCACTTCCCAAATGACAGCACTGGCCAGATCTGGGCCAGGCAGAAACCAGGAGCTTCTGGTCTCCCTTATGGGTGCAGGGGCCTAAGCACTTGGGCCATCCTCCGCTGCTTTCCCTGGCATATTAGCAGGAAGCTGGATCAGAAGTGGAGCAGCTGGGACTCGAACCTGCACCCATATGGGATGCAGGTGTCACAGGCAGTGGTTTACCTGCTATGCCACAATGCCGGCCCCAGGATCTTGTCTTTTTAAAATTGCATTAATTTATCTGGATGACTGAAATTCTGGCTGTCCCTTAAACATTGGGCATAAGGTGAGAACCTCATGGCCTTACCCTCATCCTGGCAGGAAGGCTTTCAGTATTTTCATTTCTGTGAACTTCGGGCTGTCTAGTGGCAGCCGGGGGTGGGGGTGGGGGGCTTGGGGCATGGTCACCGGGTTCCTTGGCCCAGCAACACTGCTGTAGAGATGTGGGGTCTGGCACAATCCCCGTCATGTCAGCTTTACTCACCTCCTCAGAAGGCAAGTGCTCTAGTACCCAATTAAGAGAAGGCAAATCTGTCTTCCACTTCTGAGTTTACTTAACAGGCCCCCTGCTCAGGGCTTTTTAAGACTGCTTTAGGTAAACAATGAGTAGCTTCCTATAAATACTCTTTTTCACTGAAGCCAAGTTACAAAAGAAGAACATGTTGTATATGAGCACCGAGAAGCTGGGATGTGCGGGGCCGTGTCACAAGCTACACCTCTGGCAGCAGTGGAGCGTGTGCCCTCCCTGCACCGCACGTACCTTCCACCTTCCTTGAGATGAGCGGAGCTGGGTGGGGGGGCCTCCTTATCAGTCCCACCCCTTCCTGTCCCCAGGTGATCTTCCTTAGCCTCCAGGTCTGAAGAAGGTTTGCAGCGGACCAGGCTGCTGCTCCGAAGGCCTCCTCCTGGACTTAGGATAACACTGCTTAGAAGATGGATGAATGTTTAACAATTTCCCACTTTATTACCTGCAGACAAAGAGAGAAAAGGATATAAATAGATGTTTAACCACACAAATAATTTACATTACTGTCTTTTTTATGGCTATGAAATAATAAAGTAAAATTAAATCAAGAGCAGTAACGAATTCAGCACACGGTTACTAGGCAAAAACTGCTATTTACACTCTCTCTGGAAACCAAACTGAAATAAGGAAACTCATAAAGTGGGGGATGGGACACACCGCGGGACTTTTTTTTTTGGTCGAGTTTTCAAGCAAAGCGTGTATTAAGCTGCTTTCTCCCTTCCCTGATTCCTTTCATTATGCGGGCCTGTGGCGGGCAGTCACTCATTGTTGAGAGGCCTCGTGGCACAGCTGCCCTTGCTGAAACCCGAGGCGACGATGGAGCTTAACGCAGAGAGCAAAAGGGGGGAAGGAACAGCCCCAGGAACCCGAGTTCTCAGCAGGTCTTGAGAACCTTGAAATCTTCCCCTGACATAAGGTGGCTTCCATCTGACCAAAAAATCATGGCTGAAAAATACGGGGAAATGAAAACAAGAAATAGGAAGCCCCACGCCTGGCAGGGGCTTGGAGAGGGCCCCCAGCCCCTTCTCTGGAAGTATCTCTTCTCCTTGGCACTGGGCTGTGCTGAAGAGGGTGCCGGAACGTCCCTCACTCTAGGGATGCTGCAACATCGCCATTTAGGGGTTGAGGAAGAGGATGGAGAGGAAGATCAAGCAAAAGCACACGGCTGTTCTATAGACCTGCAGCTTGGGGTTAGAAGGCGGTGACTCAGTGCATTCAGTCTGGGATATAGCAGAGTCTGGGAATCCCCCCAAAGTTATCTTAGCTTTAGCACTTTGGGCTTGTGCTATCAGAGCTGCCTGGTGTCATTAAGATTTTTAATATTTCTTGCAATTTCTGCTTTAGTTTATCATTTGCAGTTTTTTGATGAGTCCACCACAGCTACGACTTTTCCAATATAATTATCCCCACTGGAGTATCATCCTGGGCTACTGCATTGGAGCTTCGTCTGTCATCTGCATCCCCACGTATATCATTTACCGGCTGATTATCACTCCTGGGACGTTTAAAGAGGTATGTACTTGTGTGTGTGTTTTCAGACTGGTAGCTGGAGGGAAAAAGGATTCTCTGATACTCTATTCAAAAGAGATATTTTGACCACATGAAAGTCACCAGGAAGTTTCCAGCCTTGTATTCTTACACACCTATACCATGGTGTAAACCTGTTGATGGCTGTCACTGTCATCTTAGCACGTCATCCACAGTCTCAAATACAATGGCAGGAGTGAGCTGATCAGTTGGGTGCCCGGCAGCACTCATCGTGAGTTGGATATAGCTTCCTAAACCTACTGGACAGCTGCTTTGCCTGCTCTGGCCACTGGGCATGGACATCAGATCTGTGATGTCTGGTGTGATAGACACAGTTTAAGTGAAGATTATGGTGAAAATGTTCATGTGCAGTATTTTGAAAATCGTCACAAAACAATATCATAGTTTTGGTTCAAGCCATTACAATAAAAAATTGCCATGTTAGCAAGATTCATTTGTAAAAATTATAAGAACAGTACCTTATAATCTGTTTAAGAGTGCATACTTGGCCGGCGCCGCGGCTCACTAGGCTAATCCTCCACCTTGCGGTGCCGGCACACCGGGTTCTAGTCCCAGTCGGGGCGCCGGATTCTGTCCCGGTTGCCCCTCTTCCAGGCCAGCTCTCTGCTATGGCCCGGGAGTGCAGTGGAGGATGGTCCAAGTGCTTGGGCCCTGCACCCCATGGGAGACCAGGAAAAGCACCTGGCTCCTGGCTCCTGCCATCGGATCAGCGCGGTGCGCCGGCTGCAGCGGCGGCCATTGGAGGGTGAACCAACGGCAAAGGAAGACCTTTCTCTCTGTCTCTCTCTCTCACTGTCCACTCTGCCTGTCAAAAAAAAAAAAAAAGTGCATACTTTGCAAAGCATCTGCAGTGGATGATCTTGTTTTGATATTGGGGTAGATGGACCAGGACACCGCGGCTGGGGTAGTGCTGCTCAAGTTCTCACTTCAGTAACTTGCACAAGAACACGCACTACAGGGAGGCTCCTGAGCTGAGCTCCAGTGTTCTTCTCACATTGGGGGGAGCTTCCCCTTTGTCCTTGGGGTAACGGGTTGTTGATGTAGAAATTGGTGCTAGAGGTGCTGCCACAGTTAGTGGCTCAGCCACCAGCATGCCAGCAGTATTAGATTTTACCTTACCAGAATTAAGAATACTTGAGTTAGTACTTGTGGGCTGTGTTTCTCGCCACAGTAAGATTGCTACAATGGAGAGGAGCGTGAAGAAGCAGTCACTTATAAATCGTAGTTGAATGCTTTTGCAGGGGATGGGCTCAAAGGAAAAGGGTGGAATTTAGGGACAGCTAGGATGCTACAATCTACAGTGTCCCAAGAACTGAGGTGGACTAGCTGTGGGTTTTTACAAGCAAAAGTCAGACATGAGACCATCACATTAATCTTCCTAAAACATTTTGTAAGAAACAAGAAGGGGAAGGTGTTGTGAAGCAGGGTGAGCTGCTGCTCGGGGCTGTGTCCTCTTCTCAGAGTATCTGGGGTGAGTCCCACCTCTGCCCCCAGTCCAGCTTCATGCTAATTTTCCTGGGAGGCAGCAGGTATTTGAGTCCCAGCCCTCCCACTTGGGAGACCTGGATGGAGTTCTTGGCTCCTGCCTTCAGCCTGGCCCAGACCTGAATGTTGAAGCCATTTGGGGAGGGAACTAGTGGGTAGAAGAGATTCTCTCTCTCTCTTCCTCTGCCTTTGAAATAAAAATGAATAAGCATTTTTATTTGACAGGTAGAGTTACAGACAGTGAGAGAGAGAGAGAGAAAGAGAGAGAGAAAGGTCTTCCTTCTGTTGGTTCACCCCCCAAATGGCCGCCACGGCCGGCACTCCACCAATCCAAAGCCAGGAGCCAGGTGCTTCCTCCTGGTTTCCTACGTGGGTGCAGGGGCCCAAGCACCTGGGCCATCCTCCACTGCCCACAGGCAGAGGATTAACCAAGTGAGCCATGGCGCTGGCCCCTAAACATTTTTTAAAAGAGAAAACAGCAGCTCTGAGAACAACTGGGTTTCTTTACCTGGGATTTACTTTTCCTTTTTAGGAAGACAGAATTTTGAAATGACTAGTTTCCTCACCCAAATCAGTTCTCTTCTGACCTTATTCCTCCCAAAAAGCCTTGGACCCTGGTATTGCCTGTAATACCCTCTCGGTCCTGAGGCCACGGAGTGATCCCTTCATGTTCTCCTTTATGGTAGGTGTGATGATTCAGATCCAGAGAGTCAGGTCAGGGGTGGGAAATCTAGTTAATAAATGCCAGGATTCCTTAGTTGTAGACTGCACCTCAAATCCCAGCCTTTTCTTAAATTCCTCCAGTTGGTCACAAGTGACTGTCTCCCAAAGGTGTGTAACAGAGCTCATAACCATTAGCAGAAGAGGTAAAGGCCGGCGCCGCGGCTCACTAGGCTAATCCTCCACCTTGCGGCGCTGGCACACCGGGTTCTAGTCCCGGTCGGGGCGCCAGATTCTGTCCCGGTTGCCCCTCTTCCAGGCCAGCCCTCTGCTGTGGCCAGGGAGTGCAGTGGAGGATGGCCCAGGTGCTTGGGCCCTGCACCCCATGGGAGACCAGGAGAAGCACCTGGCTCCTGCCATCGGATCAGCGTGGTGCGCCGGCCGCAGTGCGCCAGCCGCGGCGGCCATTGGAGGGTGAACCAACAGCAAAAGGAAGACCTTTCTCTCTGTCTCTCTCTCTCACTGTCCACTCTGCCTGTCAAAAATAAATAAATAAATAAATAAATAAGAAGAGGTAAGACGGAGGGTAAGCATGTCTTCCCCCTCAGGCTGCCAGACAGGGAGCAGCGCGCCACAGCCTGTTAGAGAACTGGGAGGAGGAGATCTGCGGGGCGACAGCAGTTCCCTTACCTTGTCTGTGCCTCAGTTTCCTGATCTTTAAAATGTGCTCGCTGGACTCTATTTACAGTTTCCAAAGCGTGTTTTGAGGATGTTCCATGGGCCACCCATAGGTGTTACTGCTGGAGGAAGAGGTTATAAGGTTCATTCATGGAGAACACTTTTCAGTTTTCTTTATTGTAAGACTTCCCAAAAACCTTCACTATGCCATGAACATGGTTAATCTCTTAGGGGGAAAAGTATGCTGTGGTTTTCGCAAGGTACCCTAAGGGTCTAAAAATGCTTTATAATACTCAGAATATTACAGACCGTCAAGTCCAATATTCAATCTGTGAGTGTCGCTCCCCCATTCGCGGAGGAACGACACTAGACCCTGCGCTGTTCTTTTGTCTGCTCGGCCCCTTCCCGGGTTTGCTGCCGTTCCCTCACTCGCGGAGGAACGACGCCATCCCGGGTTAGCTGCCGGCCCCCCACCTCCGCGGAGGGGTGGCACCCCCCCCCCCCCCCGCTTTCCCCGCTTCCGCGGAGGAGCGGCACACCATCAGCTGGCTCTCTCAGGGGTTGCTCAGATGTTCCTCAGGTGTTCCTGGTGCATGTTGTCTCTCTCCCCCTTTATAGTCCTCTTCCACCAATCCCAACTCTGCTGCCCACACGCTGAGCACGCTGCTCTCCTCCAATCAGGAGCAGGATCAGCTCCTGCAGTTTATCAGTCAAATTGGCGAGACAGCTGTGTAGAAGTTGTTTGGTCTCTCTCCCAGCGCCATATTGTGGGAGAGCAGATGCATAGAATAAGTCTTAATTCCAGTAACTTAGTCTAGTCTCAGTTGCTCCCCACAGTGAGGAAGGCAGGTATCATAAAATTTTGGTTAATAAAAAAGAAGAGGCCGGCGCCGCGGCTCAACTGGCTAATCCTCTGCCCAGCGACGCCTGCACACCGGGTTCTAGTCGCAGTCAGGGTGCAGGAATCTGTCCCGGTTGCCCCTCTTCCAGGCCAGCTCTCTGCTGTGACCCAGGAGTGCAGTGGAGGATGGCTCAAGTGCTTGGGCCCTGCACCCCATGGGAGACCAGGATAAGCACCTGGCTACTGCCTTGGGATCAGCGTGGTGCGCTGGCCACAGTGCACCGGCCGCGGCGGCCATTGGAGGGTGAACCAACGGCAAAGGAAGACCTTTCTCTCTGTCTCTCTCTCTCACTGTCCACTCTGCCTGTCAAAAAAAAAAAAAAAAAAAAGAGACATGAGAGATGGGAGCCAGCTATGCTGTAGCATAGCAGGTGAAGCCGCTGCCTGCAGTGCCAGCACATCCCATGTGGGTGCCGGTTCAAGTCCTGGCTGCTCCACTTCCGATCCAGCTCTCTGCTATGGCCTGGGAAAGCAGTGGAAGATGGCCCAAAACCTTGGGCCCCTGCATCTGCATGGGAGACCCGGAGGAAGCTCCCGGCTTTGGATCGGTGCAGCTCTGTCTGTTGGGGCAAGTTGGGGAGTGACAAGTGGATAGAAAGCCTCTCTCTCTCTCTCTCTCTCTCTGCCTCTCCTTCTCTCTCTAACTCTTACTTTCAAATAAATAAATAAATATTTTTAAAAAAGGAGAGAGGTCAATTTCTTTTTTTTTCTTTTTTTATTATTTTTTTTATTTTTTGACAGGCAGAGTGGACAGTGAGAGAGAGAGAGACAGAGAGAAAGGTCTTCCTTTGCCGTTGGTTCACCCTCCAATGGCCGCCGCGGCCGGCGCGCTGCAGCCGGCGCACCGCGCTGATCCGATGGCAGGAGCCAGGAGCCAGGGGCTTTTCCTGGTCTCCCATGGGGTGCAGGGCCCAAACACCTGGGCCATCCTCCACTGCACTCCCTGGCCACAGCAGAGAGCTGGCCTGGAAGAGGGGCAACCGGGACAGAATCCGGCGCCCCAACCGGGACTAGAACCCGGTGTGCCGGCGCCACTAGGCAGAGGATTAGCCTAGTGAGCCGCAGCGCCGGCCAGAAAGGTCAATTTCTTAATGCTGTTGAGTCCAGGCCATATGCAGATTCTCCTCAGTTTACAATGGGATTATGTCCCAGAAAACTCAATATAAATTGAAAATATCGCAGCCAGTGTTGTGGTACAGCAGGTTAAGCTACAGTCTGTGATGCCAGTATTCCACTGCTGGTTTGAGTACCAGCTGCTCCGCTTCTGATCCAATTCCTTACTAATATGCCTGGGAAGACAGCAGAACATGGCTCAACTACTTGGACTCCTGCCACCCACAAGGGAAACCAAGATGGAGTTCCTAGCTTTAGCCAGGCCCAGTCTTGACCATCATGGCCATTTGGAGAGTGAACCAAAGGACGAAGATCTCTCCCTCTCTGCCTTTCAAATAAATAAAATCTTTCAGGAAAAAAATATCTTAAGGGGGCAAGTGTTTGGCAAAGTAGTTGAGTCACTACCTGGGATGCCCCCATCCCATATTGGAGTTCCTGGTTCCTCTGCTTCAGATCCAGATTCTTGCTAATTCTCACCCTGGGAGACAGCAGATAATAGTTCAAGTACTTGGGTCCCTGCCACCCACCTGGGAGACTCAGATGGAATTCTGGGCTCCTGGCTTCAGCCTGGCCCAGCTCTGGCTTTTGCAGGCATTTGGGGAAAGAACCAGCAATTGGAAGATCTCTGTTTCTCTGCCTTTCAAATAAAATGAATATAGAAATTAAAATATTGTTAGGAATACAGTTAAGGAGAGGCATTTAGCCTAGTGATTAAGGCTCTCATGTTCCACATCATCGTACCCAGATTCTATTCCCAGCTCCTGACTCTAGCTTTTTCCAGTGCAGACCTTGGGAGGCAGTGGTGATGGCTCCCATGGTTGGGTTATAGCCGACCATGTAGGAGACCTGGATTGCACTTTGGCCACCCCAGTCCCTGCTGGAATTTTGGGAATGAAGTAGCAGATGGGAGCTCCATTTGATGGACTCTCAAAAAAAAAAAAAAAAAAAAAAGGCATTTAATACACCTAACCACCTGAACACACAGTTTAGCAACACAAATCACTGTATAACACTGGTTGCTTACCCTCATTAGCATATGGCTGACTAGGAACTGCATGCAGTGTTCAACAGTATCAGAAGATATTGTTTGTCCTTTCACTAGGAAATCACTAAAATTCAATTCAAAGTATAGTTCTTCTGAATGCATGTTATTTTCACACCATAATAAAGCCAAAAAATTATGAAGCCAAACCATGTGTAAGTCAAGGGCTGTCTGTACAACACTGGAGGTTTTGAAGTGAGCCACCTCTTACTGCCCTAAGTTATCACATGCATCTGTATCCAAGAAGTCTCAAGGTTGGACTTGTCTACTGGCTTAGGACATTGCTGCAGAAACCCCTGATAACCTGCACAGATTCTGGAATATGTTCCCTAATCCATATACTCTTATGAAGATATGAGCTGTGATCCATTTGTGCTGGTTTCCAACCTGCACAAGGCCAGGGCATGGCAAATTTTGAGAGCAATCAAATAGTAGTTTGGCAACTAGAATGTTGCCAAAATATGGAAAACAAAACTAGGCCTGATATTTGGGGAGATAAGCAGCCAGAAGGACAGCATGTGGGTAGGGGTGAAGGCACAAAAGCCAATGGTTTTACTTTATAATGTTCATAATTGGCCTTGCCTCCACCATACATCTTAGTCATCAGTCTATGTAAGTCATAGCCTCACAAGACTAGTTATAGTGACACGTATCTATTTTCCAATTAGCAAGATATAATTCTGTTTAATCAGGGTTTACGTAGTCATCAGTGGGAACAGATGGCTCTGAAATGTTGTTCAAAGACATGGCATGCCTTGATAGCTAGTGGCACTACAACAACTTCTTTTTAAATGGATTTCTATTGTGAGAATACAGTACTCAGATACAAAAGTCATGATCAATGCAAAATTCTTGTGTAGAATTTTGTGAATGTCATTAACTATAGGAATGGAACTTTTCTGAATTCTATAGACTCTACCCCTTGAAGGACAACAAACTCTCAGAATGCAAAAATAGAAAAGGGTGAAGAGACTACATACTTTTCAATTCAGAATAAAAAGAGACAGTAGCAGTGCTTCATCTAAAGTTCAATACATCAAAAGATGCTTTCATATCCAATTTTGCCTACTTACATCAAAGATTTTACTAATCAACTTAATAAAGATTTTTCTAAGCCTTTTGCAATGCTGCTTTGCCTCTTCCCCCCAACCCCAATATCCCTGAGCTGCTTCATGTCACTGATGCTAAGTTTTACAAGGCAGGTTGTATATTTTATACACAACCAAAGCATATTTCAGATCTGCCTTACTATGTAACCCAGCTGTTTCCATGGTAGAAATTCTGTCTCCTCCTCATGATGAGTACTACATCATACCAAGATTGCTGTAGAGGTGATGATTTAAATGGTCACATCTTTTAAAATTTAATTAGATGATGATTTATCCTCTTACATGAACTGATACTGCTTCTCCGGAGGCTCCAGGCATTGTGCACACTTGCTGTAATGTGAATGCAGGGCACAAGAAGCCTAGCTGGGGAGAGCAGAGACCGAAATCTAGCACTTACTCTGTGCCTCAAGCCTTGTGTGGCCATGGGAAGTCTCTGTCCAGTCATTCAAAAGCATGTTATAGGCCAGTAAAGACTCCAGTGACGATTCAGCATTTTCTCCTATTAGGATTATAATTTTCGATTTTCTTAATTAGTTTATAATTCCTGAATATATCTTTTTTATCCATATTTAAGAACTGAGAATTTCTTATAGAAAGTCAATGAGATTATTCCAACTTATTTTAAATATTAAAATGCTAAGGTTTATTATTGTTGAAATGTATCTGCGATTTCATTAAATTACAAGAATGCCTATAACACTGTGTTTTCTTCCCAACAGCGTATTATTCGAAGTATCACTCCAGAAACCCCAACAGAGATTCCCTGTGGGGACATCCGCCTGGACGCTGTGTAAGACACTCCGGAAGAGGGAAAAGGCTTCTCAGCCTCCGCTTCCGACTCTGACAGGTCGCACCTCACCCTCGCCCTCTCCGTGGAGACTTTCCAGCCAAGCCTGCTGGTAGAAGGGCCGTCAGAGACACAGCCCCAAAAGACCATGGTGCCCAGACTCTCACGGCTTTCAGCCACTTCTTTCCCTGGAATCTCCTGGACATGATGTCACACAAGACTGTGACAGAAGCTGGACTGGCCTGTTTGAGGCATGTGAGGGTGAATGTGGAGGTGAAGAGAATCACCTTATCAGTTAGGATTAGGTTGAAAGTCAAGTCTGCAAAAGTCTCCTGTATCATTTCTTGTTAGAATCATGGATATCTGACATCTGTTGATTTCTAAAGGTTTCACTGTTCATGAATGCATAAACCAAGTAGGAGAAAACAGGGATGCTGTCTTGTTAGCCATATATTTTCAGCGTAGCATAGAATTCTATAGCTGGAATCTGCTAGAATCCTCTAATCCATATGCTGCTGTGGAGTCAGGAAAGGAAGATGTAAAAACTAAACAAACATAATGTGTACGTGTCAGCACATGTGTCTGTGTGCATTGTTGTTTCCGTGTATTCTTCTCTATTCCAATACTTCGGGCCCATTACAAACGATGTGAATTTCCTCTAATTGTTTTTAACATTAACACATTCTACCTACTCACATATGCATGTATGTAATTATTTGAAGGGTACAATTACTACAGGATGCTCGGTCACTGTCTCCCTTCCCAGTGACAGTTTTAGCTCGCACACCCTCCTTTATGGGCCAGCCTTTGGCATTTGCTGCACTTCACTGCCATCTTCCTATCTCTTTGCTAAATATTTGGGAGACTGTTCCATGGGCAAATCCAGCACACTGTGGCTTGGCTTGAACTACTTTGAAGATCAGTGTCAACACCTGCACCTTCAGTGTTCAGCCTCCCATCTGGTCTAAACTCTACTTCAAATGGCTGGCTTTGTTCAGGTTACTTTGAGAAGAGAAGGTGCACGCAATTCTCGCTCAACCTTCGGCTGTACTGATGATCCAGCACCTTGATCTGTCAAGGGCATCCTAAGTTCAAGAGCAGGTGGAGACCCTGTGTTAGCCTTAGACGACTCCTCTGCCTTAATCCCTCATGGTGGTCATGATTGTGAGGAGTCCTCCAGATAATTTTCTAGACTGAGTCTAAGGAAAGCTGACGGGGAAGCAGTCAGTTAAGTGAGTGGCCTTTCATGCTATGTAAAGTCCTTATAATATGGATATGGAATTTGGCCCTTGGTGGCTTGTGACTCAGATCCGTGGGCAGAGAAGCAAATTTTACTTTGTAGCATGGGATTTCCTTATCAAAATGAAGGGAATAAAGTCTCATTAATGACAACAGGACTTAGTCAACTGGCCCCATTATCACTTCAGTGTTCCATATAAATCCAGTTCACTTCTAACAACCTTATAGGAGGTACATATGGCAAAGACCTGGTAATCACAGGTCTCTCTCACTTGGCTTACTTCCAACTTCCAACCCCAACACACTTCCCCAGCCACCTTCCTGTACTCTGTGCCATTCTCCGATTCTTTGCTTTTCTTAGCATGCTATTTTCCTTACGGATGCTAGCTGCTGAGGAGTTTCCTGAAATACCAGAGGCAGAGGGGAATTCTACATTTGTTACTGACTTGACTTCACTATCTTCACTCCTCTTCTTGCTACCTTGTTTCCATTCTCTTTGCTTTCTAGCATGCTGAAAAGAGAAGTTACAAAATTGGCAGTGTATTTAGTTGTAGGATACCTTAGCGAATTTTAAGAAACTTGCCTTATAAAGACATTTGGATATGGATTCTTCCCACCCCATGGACACTAATATATTCTCAAAAAGATACTGGTTTTTTAAAAGCGTATTTTCATTTTATTTGAAAGGCAGAGGGAGAAACCATGCAAGTGCAAGCTTCCATATGCGGGTTCACTCCCAAATGCCTTCTTAAAAAAAAAAAAAAAAGACAAGCTAGGAACTCCATCCAGGGTTTCCACAATGATAGCAAGGACCCAAATACCCACATTAGCTCTCATCTGCTGCCTCCCAGGGTGTGCATGAGCAGGCAGCCGGATCAGAGGTGGAACAGCTGGGACTGGAACCAGGCACTCCAAAACAGGATGTAGGTGTCCCAAGCTGCAACTTAAGCTGCTGTACCAAAGCCCCACCCCAAGATACCACTTTTTAAAAAGTACTTCTTCAAATGGAATTACAGCTTTGCCAATCTATGTGTTCAAGGAATTACACAGGAGCTTTGAAAATTTCCAAACTTCATTAAATGGAAAAAAAGAATGCAAAATCTTTCTTCAGCATAATTTGCATTTATTTGATACCTGCTTATCAATACCACCATGGATTTTCTTTCTAAGGAAAATTTATTAGGTAGGCAGGCAGGCAGAGTTCAAGATAATCTTTTGGGGGTCATCTTATGGCACAGTGTTAAGCCATGGCTTGTGAAGCCACATCCCACATCAGAGTGCCAGTGTGAGTTCTAGCTACTCTGCATCTGATCCAGCTTCCGGCTAATGCACCTGGAATGGCAGCAAATGATGGCTCAAGTCCTTGGGCTCCTGCCACCCACATGGGAAACCCAGGTGAAGCTTCTGTCTCCTGGCTTTGCCCTGGCCTAGCCCTGGCTGTTGCAGCCATTTGGGGAGTGAGCCAGCAGATGGAAGATATAGTCATTCATTCTCTCTCTCTCTGCCTTTCAAATACATAAATCTTTTTTAAAAATTCCAAATTCTTAATGTTAACATATTAATCTTCATTGTATGTCAAAACATTTAAGTACCTCCCAAAACATCAAGCATATAATTTACAAATATTTAGTTTCAAATCTATAGACTTAGAAATGTTAGATTTTGGCAAACCTAAATAAATTATACAGTTCTTTGCAATTTGTAAAGAACTTTAGTTTATAATGTGCCTTCATATATATACATATACATATATATGTGTGTGTGTGTGTGTGTGTGTGTATAAAATCTCATTTGATCACCTGCGATCCAGGTGACAGATGTCATTTTCACAGGTTTGTAAACTAGGAGGCTGAGGCTCAGAGTTAGATTTGCGCAAGTTCACACAGCTGAGAAGTGTCAGAACAGGCTTTACGTCTGGGTTTTCTGATTCCAGTCCAAAGGCTATTTGCATTTCTATATTTTAGACAAAGAGAGACAAAGAGCTTCCATTTGCTGGTTCACTCTTCAAATGCCTGCAAACAGCAAAAGCTGGACCAGGTTGAAGCTGAGAGTCAGAAATTCAATGTAGGTCTTCCATGTGGATGGTAGAGACTCAACCGCCTGAGCTATCACTTGCTGCCTCCTTGGAAGCTGGAATCAGGAGCAGAGTCAGGACTCGAATTCAGGGTCTACAATACGACATGCGCGTGTCCCAAGTGGTGTCCTAACCACTAGGTCAAACTGCCCCACAATATCTTTAAAATCGGCCCTAAAGAAGCCTGAGGAATCCAGTGTTCAACCTCAGACTGGATATTTTCCCTAAACTGAAAGGATCTGGGGTCTTATTTTAAAAGATTTATTTATTTTGACTGGCAGAGTTATGGAGAGTGGGAGGGAGGGAGGGAGCCGAGCTTTCATTCACTGGTTCACTCCCCAAATGGCTGCAGGCCAAAGCCAGGATCCAGGAGCTTCTTCCAGGTCTCCCACATGGGTACAGGGGCCCCAGCACTTGGGCTATCTTTGGCTGCTTTCCCAGGTGCACCAGTAGAGAGCTGGCTGGGAGGGAAGTGGAGCAGCCAGGATTCAAACTGGTGCCCACATGGGATGCAGGCATCACAGATGGCAGGTTTCCCTGCTACACCACAGCGCTAGCCCCTTTGGGTCTCATTTTAGAGTGTGATGAGAAATAGAAACAGAGAAAGAATCTACCACTAATATATCACTCTCCGTGTGTACTCTGTACTTGGTTAACAAAGATGCTCCAGGTAACATTACCACACTACATCTAATCCTTGTACCAGATTCAGACCGATTTATACTGACTTCCTTAAAAAAGATATTAAGATAGGGATTCACAAAATAAGGGATAACATAATCAAAAGGTAGGTGAAAAGAATGAGAAAATAAATGGGGCCAGAAAAGAGGCAAAATATCATACCAGAATGACTTCCATATGTGCTTCTCCATGCCACAAATCAGATCCTAAGGTTTATTAGAGTTATCTGTTTCAACTAGATGTGACATGTCATTCACTGTTACCAAGGCTAGCAGTCATGCTGAGTGCTACTTTTTTCAGGTGTATTGTTACTATTTATAACAAAGGCTAGTTTCTCAATGCTTTGTAGAGAATTGAGGAACTCCAATATTTATAATTGTCTTGGGGGTCTCAGCTTCAGTTCTGGAACACATCACTACATAATTCTAAAGATCTCAAAATGATTATCACTAATTTTTTTCAGCTACCTGTTTTATAGCTGAAAAAAAAAAACTTCATTATGTGAAAGAGAGATATTAATGTTGAGGCCTTAATCAATGTCCATACACACAAAGCAGAATATCTTAAAGCACAGATCCTAACTATAAAAACTGAAAATCATGAGGATATGTTTCCTGCAGACAAGGATAGTCTCTTGCATAACTACAATACAATAATCAAAATCTGGAAAGTAACATTCTTACATTACCATCATCTCATCTTCTGAACCCATTCAATAGTGTCCTGCAGGTAAAAGGATCCAGTCCAGAGTCACACTCCTCATTTAACTTGGTATCTCTGTCTCTTTCATTCTCCAACAATTTCCCAGTCTTTGATTTTCATACCTTGACACTTGAGAAGATTACAGTTTGTAGAATCTCTTCATTTTACTTGTTTGATGATCAGTTCCTCATGATTAGATTCGGGCTATCTATTTTTGGCAGGAATATCATGAGGGTGGTGGTGTGTTGTTCTCTACGTGCTCTTAGGTGGAGCATGATTTGGGTTTCTCCCCTTGCTGATGAAATGAACTTCAGCCACGATTCAGTTAGTGTCTGCCAGGCTTCCCACTATATTCTTTTCTTTTCGTTATTAATTAGTATTTTGTAAAGGAGGTTATTCTGAGACAATACCCTATTTTTCACCAAACTTTCAATTCATGCATTTTATCTCTATGGATTCTTTTTATCCAATGGGTTAAAATAGATTATTTATTTTGATGCTCACACTGTCCATATCTGACCAGTAAGAGTCCCTGCAGACTGGCTTCTGTGTCCTTTTGGCGTGTCCTCATTATTCTTGGAACATTTCCTTACTTTCCGGAGTCAGATGTTCCAGCATTGTCTTGTATATTCTCTGCCACAGTTCTGGAATCAGCCATTTCTCCAAGAAACCCTGGTTCCCTTTAGTGAAGAGTGTATTTAAAAACCAAGATTTACACTGCTAGTTACGCTCATTGCTACTGAGGTGTCACTGATCCCGGGGATTCCACAGGATATAACTGAAGTGTGTGTGCATGCATGTGTACACACATATTTTCACCAGTAACTACTTCTCTATCTTGAAAACTGTGAATTCATACCAGTACCTTCAATTCCAACCCAACACTACAAAGTTCATTCTAGTATTTTCTACATCTATAACCCCTTCCATGACAGTGAAAAGCATGGCTCCCATTATCCTTAACATATTTACTTATTTGACCAGTACCTCTGCATGTAAGCGATATTCCAACACTGTCCTCTGCACAGAAGCACCTTTAACCCCATTCAGGTTCTGATACCTCATGCTGGGACTGTTCCCACACAAATGCTATTCTCGCCCTGTTGATAACCCTTGCTGGGCAGTTACCATCACCAGCCACTGCCTGAGACACTTCTCTACCCCATTTGGGCTCCGACACCCCACATGGATATCCTCATCATCCCCATTTGGACTGAAACGCTACATAAGTTGCTCCTCCCTCTTCCTGTGTATGACATCTGACTATGGCCATAATAACACTGTCTTCCTCAGCCCAGCCCCACCTAATAGCTTCTAGACTGAATTTTTAGGGAGGGGACAGTGAAAAGGCAAGAAAACCATCATATTTTCTAAAAGAGCAAGGAGAGGAAGGGGATTAGCTATACAGTGGGAGGGGCAGACCTGGACCAAAGCCCCCTCCAGGGGAGAAATTTCTATAATAAAGTGCATTTCTAAACTCTTTCTCAAACCCTCAGCCTTTTGGCTATTACTTTAAGTCTTCTTTAGGCGTCTTCTGCTACAGTTTGATTTTATGTTCTCCTCACAATTCATGTTGAAACTTAACCTTCATCAAAGTGGTATTAAAAGGTGAGGCCTCAGGGGAGGTAATTAAGTCGTGATGTCTCTGCCCGCGTAAGGGGATTAGTGCCTTTAACTTTTATTTATTTTCATTTTA